AGAAAGAAAGAAAGAAAGAAAGAAAGAAAGAAAGAAAGAAAGAAAGAGAAAGAAAGAAAGAAAGAAAGGGAAAGAAAGGAAGAAAAGAAAGGAAGGAAGGAAAAGAAAAGCAGGCAAGCAGGAAAGAATGAAGGAAGGAAGAAAGAAAATGAAAATGAAAGAAGAAGAAGAAAGGTTCAAAGCCAAGGAAAATTTGTGTTACTTATTAAAATATGTCCTTATTAGTCATTCATACTGGTGGGATTAGGTGTATTTAAAACCTTTCTTTTTACTTCTTCATATTTTCTTCTTTTTGTTATTTTATGTATATTAGTGTTTTGCCTACAGACATATTTATGCACAACATGTGTGCAATTCGGTGCCCTCAGGGATGTGTGTGTGTAGACAGACAGAGACATACAGAGACAGAGAGAAACAGAGACAGAGAGACAGAGAGAAAGATCGATCACTGAGAAACAAGAACTGTTCAGAGAAGACTTTTTCTCTTTGGAAATGGATATTGTACACCGGCTAAGACTCAGTATTTTAGTGTGCTTTTCCTGGACTCCCAGTCACATCCATAAGAGCATATGGGAATTTATTACGTTTATGAAGTGAAAGACTACAAGCAAATTAAATCAGATGTCTGTGTCTCTAACAGGCCACTGTGCCATGATTGAATCTCTATCTCTGTGTGTATTGACTTTTCCTTTTCAAGATAAGTTCATCTAGTCTTTTTTTTTTTTCCTGGAATTAGGTCAGTTCTTTCCTTTGAGAAATTTCCATTGCATTTAACAGTGACATTGCTAGAATGGCTGGGCTGGCTTGGCTGCCTCTTCCTCTGGGACAGCTTTTCTTTTCTCAGTGTCCTTGGTGCCAAGGTGGAAGACATGGTGAAAGCCTTCCTCGGGTGGGTTGAGCTAACAGAAAGGAGCCATCCCCAACAATATCCCGCCCTCGCTGCGTCTCTCAAAGTGGAACAGGCATGTCCCTGCTCATAGCTTCCTCCTTGTTGCTTCAAAACCCCAATGTCCTACTTAACATCAGAGACATCCAGGCTCATCCTCCCACTCATGAATTTCCAGGAAGGAAGTGCCACGAGGGAGAGAGGAAAGCCTAGGCATAGACCCCAGGGGACTTCTATTGCCACTGTGGGTGGAACTCCCACTCGGGGAGACCTTTTCATTCCACTATCTTAGACCTCAGAGTATCTCAGGGATTGGTTGTAATTTCAGTTTTGGTGAAGAGTTCAAGGTTAGTCAAGGTAGCTGGGAAAGGGACGTTCTATTCATGCCATTGCTCCCAGTGACTTTAACTCTCAGTCCTGGAATACCTCATATGTGAAATAATTGTAACCACTGTGAGGATTTGAGAAATAATCCAGGGAGCCTAGTTCACAGCAAGCAGCTCTTAGTCACTGTTAAATAGCTGCACTGAATAATGTCACTAGCACCATGTAGGAACTTAACTAAATGACAGTTTCTTAGCAGTTCTAACCCCTTTTAAGGAGTTAGCATTCACTTGTACCTAGTGGTACCAGGATAGAACATTGTTCAGGGGAAGTATCATTATCATCATCATCACCACCACCATCATCATTATCACCTAATGATCATCATATCCAGTGGTGAGGCTTCATATCACTAATATTGAGTTTTAGAGAGCAGTCAGATCTTAAGGTTCAACCCGACCATCCTCTAGTTGGGAATTGTTTACCAACCAACATTCTAGGAAGTGTTGTTCCCTTTTCTCTCCAGAGATGAAAAAGAAATTATATTTCTTTCCAAGTAGGATAGCCTATCTTTGAATCAGATAGATTAGCCTGAAAGGGCACAAAGATTATGCCAAAGAAAACTCCATGCTCTCCACCTTGAGCCTAACCAGACAACTACAGGAGGGAGGGAGGCTTCTGATTATGTCAGCTCAGGAAACATTCTTCTGAGGTAGAGTTTGAGGAAGAAATGACGAACCTGGTTCTCAAATAGATTTTTGTAAATAACTGACAGGAGATGGTTCGCTTCTATGGACGTATTAACCCAACGGATGGGCGTTAATTATTAAACCTTTTAGATGGTGGCTCGCTGATTTCTCCAATACCCTAATCCGGGTCACAGAATGGTTAAAGCCAGCTTTAAGTAGAGAGTGGATTTTTTCCCCTCAGTTTGTCTTCTGTTTGCGACTCTGAAAGAATGTTGTGGGTGCTCTTTTTCCTGGTGACTACTATTCACGCTGAACTCTGCCATCCAGGTACATAGCCTTAAAGCTTAAAAAAATAAACAGATTCGTAAATGCTTGAGATGTTGTAGAGTGGAGAAAAAAAAGAATAATTTTTTTCCTAAGTCTTTGGACATGTGGCTTGAAACAACTTTCAATGACTCTTAAGAATCTGAAGGGAAAATGTAAGTGATTTCATAGGTGTTAAAGTTGTGCGAGCGCTGGTACAGATCAATTGTAGTTCTTTGTTCCGTTCATCTGGGCTGTGTTAAACATTAGGATTTATCAGGCTCTGTTTTCTCACAGTTGATCCTAATTTACTGCTCTTTGTTTTTTCCTTTTCTTTTTTCCCCTCCGTCTCTGGCAGATGCAGAAAATGCCTTTAAAGTAAGACTTAGCATCCGAGCAGCCCTCGGAGATAAAGCAGTAAGTAGAACACCTGCTGGCTCATTTCCCGTTTTGTTTTCTAATAGCTCTGGGCTTTTTCAAATAGATGGCTTCTCTGAGTCTTCAAGTCTGATCTTTTGCCAAAGCTAGATTACAATAACATGAGAGTCACTGATAGAATGCGTTTGCTTAAAGTACATAATCAGTAGTGAGTGGTTGAAAATACTCACTATTTTTTGTTGTGCTATGGAAATCAGTTTTGAAAACTTGAAAGACTCAGTCCGGGAACATAGAGAAAAGGGGGTTGTCTGGTCTGATGTAAATGCGTTTGTCTAGTTTAAGCCTGCCATTCACTATTGTGGGCATCTAAATGTTATCGGTATCTTGTCATCAGAAAGACTAGTGCTACCAATACATTTCACAGTACAAAATTGTCCACTTATATGCAAAGCTTCAATTCTTCCCATCTATGAAGGTGACAGTATGGAAATTGTGCTTGAAATAACAGAAATTTAAAATCCTCAGAATCTATAGGGGGTGGAAGAGTAGGAAAGATCATAGAATTAAGAAGATGCTGTTGGCGAATTTTAATGTCAGTTTCCAGGTGTGCTCTGCATTAAAAAAAAAACTTAGTAGGTGATATTAATGCCTCATACCACAAACAAACAAACAAAACCCAGATTGCTAAAGGGATTTGAAAGTATTCTATTTGCTGGCCAATCAGCTGCCAGAGTTTTCATCATTCATCTGATAAGTAAGAGTTGTTATAATAGCGTATAAAACAAGCATTTGTTAAGGCATTATTTTACTTCCTAGTGGGGGCTCTTCTAAGCACTGAACTCCTATCGGCTTCTGAGCCCTTACCCCTTTGAGTACAGGTATGTCCATTCTGATCGAATGAGGAAATAAAGCACAGGGCCAGAGTCATATGCGACTCTGAAGATCTCAAGCCAGTAAACGGCAGGAGAGTCAAACCCAGGGAGTTTGACTGCAGAGACACCGCTCCCAGCCAGCGTATAAGATCGCGTATCCCAGGATCTTTAGATTCGGCTGCATGTTAGGGATGCAATGGCAGCTAACACTGGCCTTGTCCGTTCTCTGCGGAGCTTATAGTAGTGAGAGAATCAATTGTCCATTAAATAGTCAGTAAAGCAAATGCAAATGTGCAGTCTTGAGAAGTATTACAGAAGGAGAAGTATACAGGGTTCTGGCCTCAGCAGGAGCCTCTGTCCCAGGCAATTCTGTAATGTCTTACATAACCATGAACAGACAGAGAAGGAGGGATGGGTGGCAGAGGGCTGTCACATGTGAACATAGCAATAATCCCAAGGAACTTAGTGAACGTGAAGGATGGAAGGAAGACCAGGGTGTCTGGAACAGAAGCTGTGAGGAAGAACATGGCATTTAAGGACCCTGAGAAAAGAGGACTGCATGGGGAGTGTGTGTCATGCTGGTTGAGGGTAGGAGGGGGTTTGTTTCAAGACAGAGTAACTGTTTAAAGCATCAAATGCTGTTGAGAGGCCAAGCTCATTCTGTGATGCAAAATGAAGCTTGAGGAGTTTAGTGGGAACTGTTTTTGGAAAGATATAGAACTGAAAGTCAGATATTAGCGAGGAGGATGAAATAAGCAGGGTAAGTTGGGGGTGAACATGCAGAAGTATTAGTCACTCCTATAAGAATTTTAGCTGGGTCTAGAGGCTGGCTCAGGAGGCTGGGGCTGTACTTCTGCTGATAGAGTGCTTGCCTAGCATGTAGGGGGCCCTGAGTTCCATCTCTAGCATGTCATAAACCAGACCTGCTAGCACTTAGGAGAGGGAGGCAGAAGGATCAGAAGTTCGTCATCATTCTTTATTACTCAGCCTAAAATACATATGACCCTGTGAGAGGGGAGGGAGAGGGAGAAGAATGAAGGGAGAAGGAGAGGGGGAGGGGAGGGAGAGGGAGGAAGGGAGAAGAGGGGGAGGGGAGGGGAGCTCTGGCTGTGAAAGGTTGGAGGGAGCTAGCATTTGGAAGATCAAGTAGAGCCAGGGGTTTTACTGTTGGTTTAGTGGAAACAAGTTGAACATGAGTAAAAGTCAGCAGACAGGCTAAAGCTGGACTTGCATACACAGAAGAAACTGATGCTTCAAGTCTGAGAAGGGAGGGGCAGAGGTATTCCCAGCACACTTGTGGGGATTAGCCATTATCAGGAGAGAAATGTTTGGCACTTCAGGAGAGGAAGTGGTTAGGATGTGTGTCGGTGCTGGAAGGTTTTGTTTCTTTGTCAAGGGAGTTTAAATTGCTAAATTGAGACATTCCACACTCAGGGGTTAGGGATTAAGCTCAATGGTGGAAAGCTTGCCTAGCAAGTGAAAGTCCCCGGGTTCAGTCTTCCAGCTCTGGCTGTTGGAGGCACTATAAAACCAAAAGCATTCAGTGAGAGCCAAGGTAGAAGGAAAAATGTTATGATGGGGGCGGGGAAGGTGTAGGAAGTTTGAAGCAGTCTTGGGACAGACACTTGTCTTAAGACAAAGAACTTATGGAGAATACTAAGAGGTGAGAAAGAAATTGGAGGGCAGAGCATCATGAATTTAAAATTAAGCAAGCCCCGTTTTTGTGACTCTCTTGCTACTTTTGACTAGTCAACTAAAATGTGAGGTTTCAGTGTTCTTAGATGTAGGCAGAAAGTAAAATGGCCCGGGAGACTTGAGGGCTTAGTAGAAGTGTTATTCCAATGAGGAAGCAAGGAATCCGAGATGACAGATAAATACATGCAATTAATATGCACTGTGTGGTCCATGAAGTCACAAGAGTGCTCTAACAATACATTCAGTTGTATAGACTTATGGTGTCTGTATGCCAGGACAGCAGGTATATGAAGTACTTACTACAAGCCTTCTTGTGTATGTCTCTTCCTGGTGCTATTTTGGTCTGTGGGTATTAAGCCAGGACTGTGACTCTAAGTAACTCTTTCCTTATTGTTCTTCAGTTGTACATTTTTTTTATTACTATACGTGTTGATTGTTTTGCCTGGAAACCACTTGGAAACACATTGAAAGCCATAGTAGAAATGTGACACAACTGATAGACACACAGGCTTTTAATCGTCCCCTCAACTCAAGTTGGTTCTCTCTGCTCAATTCCCAACACAAAGCACCACTAGTTAGTCTTTCCCAGATCTCAGGAGCTGTGAGCTTTCCTCCGTGGCCTAGGCCACACTCCTGTTGGCAGAACTCATGATCAGTTTGTGAGAGGAACTAAGGTATCCTTTCCAAGATCCCAAATGCAATTTAAAGCCATGCTCTGACAACTTCTGGCTGGCATCGCCATTTTGGTTTGCTACACTGACATTCTCATTTGTATTTGAGCAGGCTCCTTTCCTGTCTCCACATCCTCACAACAAGGCTTCCCTGAGTGTGCACACACACAAGAATGTGTATAAGTATATACACATTTGTAATATTGTATATAAAATTATATATACTTTATATATGTATACTTATTTTTTAAAATTAAGATTTAGTTTTGTGTGTGTCCATAGAGATCAGAAAAGGGTGTCAGACTCCCCAGAGTTGGAGTTACAGGTGATTAGGAACCACCTGGTGTAGATGCTGGGAACTGAACTCAGGTCCTCTGGAATAACAGTATATGCTCTTAACTGCTGAGCCATCTCGATAGCCTTATATGTATAACTTTTATTAGACAAGCTCTCAATATGCAGCTCTGGCTGCTAAGGGTTATTTACTGTAAGCCTGTACCACTGCTGGACCCTGAAGCTATTTAGGAAAGGATATGTATACCCTTCATGTATAGAGAAGGTAACCAGGGGATACATTTTCTGTTGTTGTTTAGGATTGTTTATATTTCAAACTGTTCCTTTCTCAGTACTCTAAGAAAGCAACAGTAGTTATGATAAAATATGTTTCTATCTTAGTATGACCCCAGATCTTTTTTTATTGGATGTTTTATTTATATTTCATATGTTATCCCCGTACCCCATTCCCCTCCCTGCCCAGGAACCCCCTATCCCTTCACCCCTCCTCCTGCTTCTCTGTGGATGTGCCCCTACCTACCCCCCCCCACCTCTCCACCCTCAAATTCCCACCCACTGGGGCGTCCAGCCTTCATGAGGTCAAGGTTCTCTTCTTCCACCTATGCCCAGCAGGGCCCTCCACTCTTACATATTCAGTTGAAGCCCTGGATCCCTCCCTAAGTGCTCCCAGGCTGGTGGTTTAGACCCTGGGAGCTGTGGTTGGTTGGTATTGTTGCTCTCCTCATGGGGCCACAAACCCTTTCAGCTCCAATGGTATTCACTCTAACTCCTCCATTGGGAACCCCATGATCAGTTTAATGGCTAGTTGTGAGCATCCGCCTCTGAATACGTCAGACTCTTGCAGACCTCTGAGGAGACAGCTATATCAGACTCTTATGACCCCAGATCTTAACAATACTCTCATGATGTGCGAGAATGAGGTGTCCAAATATCAGGTTTGTTGACAGGCCAATGACATTGCAGAGTCTAAGAGAGTGCAATAGGAAAGGCCAAACTTGGAATCGTAAGGCATAAGAATGTGAGTTGTCATGATGTCTGCTGTGTGAGAAACATGGAAGTGAATGAGAAAGCAAAGGAGGAGGGTGATGGAACATATCACCAAATGGACTCCTTCCCATCCCATTCACCTCTACTTTTCCTTTTCTTTCAGTATGTCTGGGACACGGATGAAGAATATCTCTTCAGAGCAATGGTGGCATTCTCCATGAGAAAAGTTCCCAACAGAGAAGCAACAGAGTAAGCATGAAATCTCAAGTGCCCGTTTGAGATAATACACTATTTCGATTTCCTATGTTGAACATGATCTAGTACCCTCCTCTGATTTAAGGGGCCAGCATTTTTCTTTTTTAATGGCCACGATCAAAATGATATTTGCATTTTTATGTCTTACGCTTTCCATGTTTCTGTTGTATACATATAATTTTTCTTGCAAAGAGCTAGGAAATTTATTCTCCTCTAAAACGTAACCTAAATATGGACCCCACATTGGTATATATTGCATATATGTCTTGTTAATTTTCTTAAAAGTACTTAATACAAACTTTTTTAAAATAATTTTTGAGCTGGGCGGTGGTGGCACATGCCTTTAATCCCAGCACTTGGGAGGCAGAGGCAGGCAGATTTCTGAGTTCGAGGCCAGCCTGGTCTACAGAGTGAGTTCCAAGACAGCCAAGGCTACACACAGAGAAACCCTGTCTCGAAAAACCAAATAATAATAATAATATTTGTTGTGATGGTGGGTTTTTTGTTTGTTTTTGTTTTTGAGACAGGGTCTCATAATGTAGCCTCAGCTGTCCTGGGGCTATGTAGACCAGGCTGGTGTGGAACTCACAGAAATCTGACTGCTCTGTCTCTCTGTGATTAAAGGTACTCGCCACCATGCCTGGGCAGTTTTAATAGTTTTACATTTATTTCCCTACTCATCTGGATGAATCTTCTCTATTTGTAGAGATTCTTTCCTTTTCTGTTTGGGATTAGGTTACCACTCCTCGTGGATCTCTACTCGCTCTCCCATGCCTCCATCTGTGAGGTGAAATGACTGGTAGGCTGGACAAAGCATCTGGGAGCAAGCTTGCCCTGTCTGCTCCCACCAAGCTTTCCTGCTGCTGCTTCTTAGTAGAACTGTCAGGCTGTACTTGCTGTGTATGGTTAAGGAGCTTTTAGATTAGAAGCTTCCCTATTGTACAGCCTGCTATGTACTGCCCAAGCACATGATACCTGTCTCAATTCAGCTCTACCAAAGACAGTTACGGTTAAACTTATTTCATTTCAGGATGGTTGTTGTTTTTGGTGGTTTGAGACAGTCTCATATGGTCCAGGCTGGCCTTAAATTCATTATGTAGCTGAAGATGGTCTTGAAATCCTGATCCTTCTGTCTCAGCATCCCGAGTACTGGGAATTACAGGCATGCATTACCGTCTTCTGATTTAATTTCAGGATTTTTTAAGATTAGGAAGAAAACAAGGGATTAAACAGTCTCCAACGAGTCCTTTTCTCTTCAAGCCCTAAGTGCTTTACTAAAGAGTGACTTTTGCAATAATTCAGAGCCCAGAGAAGAGGGTAACTATCAGTTGATTTCTCTCAGATTTCCAATATCTGATATGAACATAAAAAATAAAAAAAGGAAAAGAAAGCTGGGTGTGATGGTACACACCTTTAATGGCAGTTTTCCTGAGATAGAGGCAGAGTGTCTGAAGCTAGCCTGGTCTACAAAGTGAGTCCTAGGTCAGCTAGGCCTACATAGTGAAACCCTATTTCAGTGTGTGTGTGCGTGTGCGTGTGTGTGTGTATGGAAGAGTAGATTTTGAGGAAGTAAAGCACATGAAATGTATGTTTGTATACACACATGCATATTTAAAGCAGATCTTTCCCCATTTATTATTTTAAAGTAATTTGTGTGTATACTATATGTGAATGCATGTGCACATGCATGTATGTGTGTGTATGTGTGTGAAATCCAGAGTTTGATTTTGAGTGTCTTCCTCTCTTGTTCTCTACTTTTTTTTTGTAACTGTGGGTTTTTTACTGAGCCTGGGGCACAAGGATTGGCTAGACAGCTGGCCAGCAAGCTCCAAGCTCCACTTATCTCTGCCTCCTTTATTCTCTTGGTGACAGTGACCTGAAACTCAGATCTTCATGGTCATGTGGCAGGCACTTTAACAACTGAGCTATTTCCCCAATTTCCACATATGTATATTTATATACATGTATGATAATGATGATGATGGTGTATTATACAATGACAGTTTTTAAAAGAAAGCATATAGAAAAGCAACAAAAAAAATGTGTCCTAAATTCTCTTCATGCTTTATCAAATTTTAAAGAAAAAGTATTTGATGACATTTAAAATTTATTCTTTTAAAATTTCACACATTTGTGCAATATATTTTGATCATATCCATCCACTATCACCTCCCTTCCATCCCCCCCCACCCCAGCATTATAGTTTTTAAAAATACAAATAAGGGAAAAGGGTAGAGGGCTTAGCAGTGAAAGGTGTATAGTGTTCTTGCAGAATACATGAATTCGGTTCCAGCTCCCACATAGGGCAGCCCAGAACTTCCTGTGACTTCAACTCTAGAGGATGTGATGCTCTTTTCTGGCCTCTGTGGGGATACCTGCATGCATGAAACAATAATCGCACAGATACAGACACATACATATAAATAGAAGAGAATCAATCTAATTAAAAACATGGTGATCGCATTACAAAAATTCAAAAGGAATGAAAGCACTTATCTCTTGGGGATAATGCTAAGCATCTCTTTTGTGTACTAGCTCTCCTTGTCAGCAAATGCTGTACTTTGCTATGTCCCTGGCACCGTGATTTCCCCCACGTGCCTACATTTCCCCTGGTTCATGGTTTTGTTAAAGCAATATTTCTGCTCTTGGGCAAAAGTGATGAGCTATTTAACGTTTCAGAATTTGAGGAATTCACCTTTGGAATGTTTTCCTTCAGAGCCAGGGACATTGTGGTAGTCTGTGCATATCAGATCTAGTTTTTGTTTTTTGTTTTTTGTTTTGAAAGGTGATTCCATTTTCAGTGGTCACCCAGACTATATAGAAGTTTTGTTACTTATCGTAAATCTACCAAAGTATAAAACTAGATCAGTGAAGTTTTTTTTTTCCTGTGAAGGCCAAAGGTGACGACGGCGTGAGGAACACGTTTTCCTTCAGTTGGACTGTGGGGTCAGCCTAAGGAAGTATGTTGCTATAGTGCTAGCCACAGAAGTAAATACCCTGTTCTGAAAGTCTGCTGTGTAGTTGAAGAGGCTCAGCAGATGTAAAGATATTCTAGCATAGCTGTGCCTCTCGATTTCACTACTTGTTATCAAAACAATGACCCCCAAGAAATGAGAATTTCCTCAGAAATCTCATTCTGGGAGAAGGAAAAGGTAGGTACCAGCCAAGTGGGAACTTGTCTTCTGGAAAGAGATTTCAGACTGCCTTACAGGATGAGACTGAAGCCCAGACAAGGGTGAGCCAATAATGGGCAGGCCATACCTTGACAGAAGCTGTTAGATATGCATATCCTTAGCCCTCTATTTAAACTCTGATCTCATTTTAGGGCCTCCAAGATGGACTTTGGGTCTTCTCTGGATCCCATAGTCTCTCTTCCAATGTGGCCACATTAAATAAATCTCTACTTTTAATTCAACTCTTTTAGTTGGTTTATTGAGGGTAGGCATTTGGGCCTGGCTTGGGGCTCAGGTTCCAAATGATTTAAGCCAGATTCACAGCAACAGGAATTCCAAACGGTTCTAAGTTGTTTTCAAGGAAACTATCAGCTAGTTAGAAGTTTAGTCTAGTTTTCAGGCAAGCAGGCATTTAACTACATATTATACAAACATTGGCTTTTAAGGTAATCTATCACTTTTAGGAAGATAGGTAGAAGTCTATTGCAGGTGTTGCTTTCTCTTTCTAAGTAGCGTAGAGCATGTAATGAATTTCTTGCTCTACTTAATTTTCCAAGGATAAATCTTGTGACCGAAAATGAACAATGTGTTCTTGTGCCCATGGAAAGGTAAGGGGATTACCCGTCTCGTGCTTGCAGGCCAGTTCAATTTTAGTCCTGATTTTCAGAAACAAGAGCCTAATTCTTACCACCCTTGGCTTTGTCTGGCCTCATTGATGAGAAATAGCTATAGAGCCAATTTACAGAGAATTGCCTTCAGGTCAGTGCTTCATACATTTAAGGAGGCAGAAGGAACATTTGTAGCTTTTCTTTTTTTTTTTTTAGTGACTTGCTGAAAGAAGCCATTCATGTAGATGTTAATAATTTTTTTGATAAAAATCATTGGTCAAGGTCTGAAGAGATGACTCAGTGGTTAAAAGCACGGTTAAAAGCACTTACTACATTTGCAGAGGACCTTGGTTCAATTCCCAGCATCCAAAGGGTGGTTAGCAGCTGTCCATAACTCCAGTTCCAGGGAACTCAATGCCTTCTTCTGACTTCCGTCGGCATCAGCATGTGCATGGCACTGTTAATCTCAAAGATGGGAGGAGAAAGACCACAGACCCAAATCATCATGACCAAATTAACTAAAGCAAGCTTTTTATTCATGTACATGGGCTGCCTCCCCCTAAGGCAGGGTTCCAGAGGTCAGAATTAGACGTGAGGAAGACAAAACTTTTATTTATAGCTCAAGGATAGGAGATTTTCAAATGAAAGATTTGGCAGTCAAAATAGGTGAAGTGTAAGAAGCAGAACATAAAGATAACAAAGCTTGTCCCTCCTGAAACAAGAACATGGTTGGAGGAGGGCAGACAAGGTAGTCATAACAACAGGAAGCCATAACAAGGTAGTCAGAGATGGCCATAGAACCCTTTGAAACAAAGGCAGGGCTGCAAGATGGTTATAAATATCTTTTTGAAACAAAGACATGATCGATCGTCATTCCTAGAACAGGCAGTACAGAACCATTTGTAGTTAAGGTTACAGGCCAGGCATAGCCTAATCCTTCAGAAACAGAGGCTTAATCATAAACAGGAATAAACCTAGTTTGTCTTTACTATAAGATGGCTTTTAAGCTTAAGGTAGAGGCAGGCTGGTTCTTCAGTACACACATACATACATGAGTGCAAAACATTTAAAAGAAAATCAATCATTGTTCAGAGTGGTTGCTAAAATAAACTCACATGGTTCCATTAGACCCATCCGTATATGAAATTTGGAAAATATAGGATTTCTATTTAATTGTGCTAAAAGTATTTCAATTTTGTTGTTTTTTTTGAGACATGGTCTCTCTGGGTAGCTTTGGCTATCCTGGAACTCATTCTTTAGACCAGGCTGCCCTTGAACTCAAAGAGATCTGCCTGCCTCTGCCTCCCAAATACTGAGATTAAAGATGCGTACCATCACCACCACCACATCTTTTTTTTTAAAAAA